CACTGTACTAGAAAACGGCTATAGTTTGGACCTAGATTATCCCCTGTGATGAAGATTTGGCCTCCAACTTGTGGGAATCCTTAGGAGGCAAGGTGTATCAGGGGAAGTGAGGTAATTAGGGGTATACCCCTGAGGGCTCGCATGGAATCCTGGCCCCTTCCTTTCTCTCTTTGCTTCTTGGCTGCCATAAGGTGAACCAGCTTTCTCTGCCCTGTGCTCTTAGTATCATGTACTGTGCTGCTGCAAGCCCCAGAGCAACACTACCAAGCAAATATGCAATGAAACCATGAGCCAAAATACACCTTTTGGCTTTTTATGTTGATTACCTCAGATATTTATCACAGTGACATAAAACTGACTAACACAACTTTGGTTCCAGGAATAGAGTATTGCCATAACAAATACAGTAGTTCCCCCCTTACCCATGGGACATATGTTCTAAGAGCCCTAGTGGATGCTTGAAACCTATATTTCTGCCTTTGCTTTTCAGAACTTCTAATCTTATTTCTTTTTAATTCAAACATTGATTATATATCAGTGAAAATATTTAGCTATCTGGTTTCTTCTTGCTGCGTATAGCACAATGTGAGAGGAGATTGATACATGGCAATAACCATATGACTATGGGTTCTCTCTCAAAATGTCATATTGTACTATCACTTTTGCACCTCAAGGAAATGCTTTGCAGCTTCTCTTAGGTATATCTGAATTGCAGCACTAGTACTCTTGCACTTTGGGGCCATTATTAAATAAAAAAGGGCTACTTGAATACAAGCAGTGTGATTTGCAACAATTAATCTGATAGCTGAGATGGCTACTAGTGACTAAGAGGTAGGTAGCATATACAGCATGGATATGCTGCACAAAGAGATGATTCACATCCTCAGTGGTATGGAACAGAACAGCGTGAGATTTCATCAAGCAACTCAGAATAGTGAGCAATTTAAAACTTATGAATTGTTTTTGTTTTTTTTAAGAGAGAGAGAGAACTTTTGATATTTATTTTTTAGTTATCGGCGGACACAACATCTCTTTGTATGTGGTGCTGAGAATCGAACCCAGGCCGCACGCATGCCAGGCGAGCGTGCTACCGCTTGAGCCACATCCCCAGCCCAATTATGAATTGTTTATTTCTGCAATTTTCCATTTAGTATTTTTGGAGCAAAGTTGATTATGAGTAACCGAAACTGTGGAAAGCAAAACCCAGGACATAGGGGAACTACTATACCTAAAAACATGTCAATGACTTTGGAATTGGACAGTGGGTAGAAGTTGCAAGAATTTCAAGAGATGTCATAAAGGAAAACAAACCAACAAACCAACCAACAAACAAACCAGGAGGCTGAGAATGGGGACACACACCTGTAATCCCAGCACTCCAGAAGCTGAGACAGGAGGATTGCAAATTCAAGGCCAGCCTGGGCAATTTAGCAAGACCCTATCTCAAAATCAGAAATAAAAAAGACTGGGGATGTAGTTCATTGGTACAACAGTTTCCTAGCTTGCACAAGGCCCTAGTTTGGAACTATTTCAAGAATTGTGCTCACTGTGTAATCCCAGCTGCTCAAGAGTCTCAGACAGGAGAAGTTTGAGGCCCTATGCAACTTAGTAAAACCCTGCCTCAAAAAAAAAGGAGGGGGGGCGGGGCGCTGAGGATGTAGCTGGATGGTAAACTGCTCCTGGGTTCAATCTCCAGTATTCTCTACCCCCAAAATTGTACTCAAGAGCTGTATCTAACAGACTACTGCTGAGGAAACTCATCTACACTGCTTTAGAGGATTTTGATGATGAGACCATGGACTTTGAACTGATGAGATGATGATTTTTAGGTTTGGATTGGGTCTTTTGGTGAGTGGACGTTACAATAGGATAAGACAGACTCTTGAAAACTTTGGGTTGTAGTAAAATGTATTTCGCATTTGAAAGGAACATGTGTCACTTGAGGTGAGAGGGAGGGGCCCTATGATACCCCGTCTCTTCCATCAATCTGAGGGTTCTCAGTGATGACCATCTCCTGCAAACCTGGGGCTCTGGCACATTTGGCTTGCCACTCCGTATGGGGCAACCATGGGCAAGGTCTGTCCCTAGAGAGCCTAGACTGACCAAGACAGTTTGCCAGCAAGTGCGGTTTGCCAGGGGCACTTGATGGGTCACGCGCGCAGTCTGCTCAGTGCGGTACACCGAAGTGGACCAGCCGAATGGCCGGTGCCGGGGCCAAAAAATCAGGCCTAGGCTAGTGGGGGACCTGTGGGCTGACTGCCCTCATGTACTGCCTGTGCTTCCCGGCACTGCAAGCTCAGGACACCGAGCCCAACCTGTCGAAGAGTAAATGGACAAAGGCCAGGGGCGGACTCAGAGGGGCGCGCCCAGTCACTTACCAGCCAGTTTCATGTTCCTCCCGGCCCTGCCATTTTCCAGGATGACCAGAGCCAGGCTAAGTCTAGCTCTAGGGGCTAGCGTTGGCAATTAGGAAAGGGGGCAGTGAGAGGGGGACTGAGAAGGCCTGGGGAAGGGGGATACACAAAGTGTGTCCCCTCTCCCCTGTTGATTTTTCCCCAGTGGATGACATCTCAATTTAAGGGCCAAGGTCCTGCATGAATTTGTCTAGGTGGGGTACCCACACCGGCTCTTTATCAAGCCAAGCTCGGGACTCACAGCTGCTGTCTTCAAATAGGGCTGTGTTCCTTAGGTAAAGGAAGGTCTGAGAAGTCTTGCCCAGGACCCATTTCCCTCCCTGGACTTCTGCTCTGTGGGGATTTTTCCCATGAGAGGCAGCTTCATGCTGATATGTGCCCCCCTGTCCCCCCGCCCCCCACTCAATGTAAAAATTGCTTGGTCACAAGGGCCATGTCACTTCATCCTGGGCCTTGGGTATTCCTACTTAGCAAATGAGAAGAGGGGCTGTCCCTGAGGTCCTCTTACTATTATATTTGGGGGCACCGAGGGCTGGTGTCGTGAATTTAGGTGCCTCATAGCTGGAATTGTCTCCACAGTATGTGGCAGGAACAAATTATCCCCGAAGATCTTTGGTGGAAAGAGGGCAGGACCTGAACGGTGGCCATGGCAGGCTGCTCTACTTCTCAGAGGCAAATTTATCTGTGGAGCTGCCCTCATTGACAGCAACTGGGTGGCCTCTGCAGCCCACTGCTTCCAAAGGTGCAATTTCCCTCTGTGGGGCCCCAGCCACTAGGAAGAGACTGAAGGAGGGAGGCACAAGGTGGGCAGGATAGAAGAATGAAGATGTCCAGATTTCCCTATCTAGGTTTTATTCTAGGACAGTTTGATGCCATCAGGTGTCCCTGTGCTATTGCCCTACCTTTGGCCCAATGTGCCCTGCCCACTACTGGGAATGCCATCCCTGCTTGTCTGTGTGCTTCTTCCAGGCAGAGGTCTTGGACTTCATCTCACACCCTAAGGATGCCCTGCACTCCCCCTACCCCTTTCCATTTTGGTAAACCCACCAAGATGATGCTACCTGGAAAATAATTTACTCTGGTTGTGATTATCAACAAATACTGGGAAACAGACTTTAGTTCCAAAATGACCATCTCTACTTTTTATTTTTCCATAAACACTAGGGATAAAAATCTCATCCCTCTCAGGGTGGACTTTGTAGTCTGTGTCCTGACTACCCCTAGATAGTGTCAGCAGATGTCATCAGACCTTAGTTAACTCTTGTGCAAATGGTAGTGACTGTGTCCTTGTCCCTGGCCATACATGTAGAACAGGCTCCAGGTGTTAGTCAGAATGCTAGTCCCAGGTCCCTGTTTCCCAGGGCAGGTGGATTGGGGTTAGCCCACATAGTCAGATGTCTTGCCTCCTCTAGCCAGGGCTCTCCACAAGCTATCCAGGGCTCTCCACAAGCTATCCAGGGCACACTTACTGTGGAGTCTTGGATCTGGGTCCTAGCAACCTGAACATTGCACTACACTCCTATCTGGAGTTGTCCTGGGACCCTGTTTAACCTACACTAGGGGTTCTTGCTGTTCCTGTAGTTTTATGTACCTAGGAAGAGCTGAGGGCACCACCATCCCCTAGACCAGTATAAGGGATGAGTAAATAGTTTCTGCCCTGAGAGAGTGAGGCAGATCTTCAGGAGGCTGACTCACTGTGTGACCAGAGAGGAAAAGGAGGACACCACAGTCATCCCAGAAGACAGAGCTGTAGGAGTAGCTGACTGTGAGATCCCAATTGGGTTCTATTCTTATATTCAGCACCTAGGAGTACCAAGCCCACATGGGAGATGTGGAGATGCAAGACCCACCTTGAAAGCGAGGCACAAGCCCAACTTCCACAGTAGACCCTAAGGACATGTCAGGGGGGACACCATGGTTCCATCCAGAGTGAAAGCATGGAACTGGAGGGTCTTTTGGAGAGAAGGATCCAGGCATGAGGAGTCTGGGTAGGGGCACCACACAAGTGTGTCATGTGGGCTGGAAGGTCACTAGGGTTTCAAAAAGAAGTTTCCAAGTATTCCTCCTTTTCCTTCACTACGACTTGTCGAGTGCCTGTGCCCAGGTTGGGAGCCAGCCAGCTTGTAGAGAGGATGATGTGAGGATTGGAGGGAGGGGTCATGCTGGCCTGGCAAGTGGGGACTTTGAGAAGTCTGTTGGGCCATAAGAGGGTTTGATCAGGGATGAAAATGCGACACATCTCTTCCCCTCCAAATGTTTCTTTGCAGCAATAAGATTCTCCGCTCCTTGAATTCTGTAGCATGCTAGAAAAGCTGTTAAAAGCCTTCAAAGGTCTGGTATCCTAAGGTTGTAGACAGAATCAAACTCACCTCAAGAGAAGGGCTATCAGAGTACTAGGAAGGGAGGAGAAAAAAAAAACCTCTGAAATGATGGGGTGAGGTCTGGTTGTCTGCCAGGTGGGTGGGTGGTTAGGGCCAGGGTGCCTGTGCAACACTCAGAGGATCTGCCCCCAGCAGGTCCCAGAACCCAGCTGACTACCGGATCCTGCTAGGGTACAACCAACTGAGCAACCCCAGTAATGTAAGCATGCAGATGACAGTGTACAAGGTCATTGTCCACCCAGACTTCGACAAGCACCATTTTTTAGGGAGTGACATCACCTTGATGCAGCTGCACCAGCCTGTGAAGTTCAGCTCCCACATTCTACCTGCCTGTCTCCCAGAGAGCTCCACAAAGCCGGACTCTACAACAACATGCTGGATAAGTGGCTGGGGGATGATAACTGAAGAAAGTGAGCACCCTGCGTCAACTGACAGGCTGGAGAGAGAGTTGGTTTCGCTTTGGTTAGCACTTCATGTTTGAATTCTTTCCCACAGAATTCCTGCCACCTCCCATGCAACTTCAGGAGGCAGAGCTCAAGCTTGTACCCAGTGATGTCTGTGACTCCTTTTACAGACCTCCCAACCCTGCTGACGCTGGCCCCAAACCTCCTGGTGTACACGAGGACGCATTGTGTGCTGGGGACTATATAAATGAAAGGTCCATCTGCCGAGTAAGTAAGACCAGCTTAGACTCTCCAGCTGAGCTTGGCCACCTCTTTGCTGCTGTGCTGTGTCCCTCCATCTATGTCTTCTGTATACCTAGAGCCCCTATGCACCACTCTATCCCATCCATTTTCTGTAAAAAATGTCAAAATATAGCATGGAGAGAAGAGGAGCTATAACTTGTATTGTTTGATGACTTTTTAGAGATGGATATATTCACATACCAGCACCCAAAGGGTCCTACTCTTGGTGTCTGTCACTAACTCCCCCAGAATGACCCCTTTCTGGCTTCAAGCACCATGGGTTTGTGTTTGGACTTTAGCTGAATACAACATGTAGAATCTAGGCTTTTGCCTGGTTTCATTTACTCAATACTATGTGTGTGACATTTATCCAACCTACTGTGTAAGTGAACAATTTTACTTTTCCATTTTTATGTTCAGAGAATGGACAGTTTTCATTTGGGGTCTTTGTGAATGTCATTGCTGTGAACATCCTAGTGTCTTGTGTGTGTGCTTTAAGTTCACATTTTGATTGGGGGTCGTGCTGGCAGTGGAACCGTTACGTCATGAGGTATGTATGCATTCCTTCTTCTCTTGTGGATATTCCAGCTTTCCAAGCTGGTTGTATCCATTTACATTCCCACCAGCAGTAAATGAGGGTTCAGTTTGCCTCATGTTGCTGCCAGTGCTTTGGATCATACACTGTTTTCATTTTAACCATTGAGTGTGATCTTTTTTATTTTTTATTTTATTTTTTTTAGTTGTAGATGGACACAATGCCTTTATTTTATTCATTTATTTTTATGTGGTGCTGAGGATTGAACCTAGTGCCTCACCTGTGATTGGCAATTGCTGTAACCACTACAGCCCCTGTATGTGATTTTTAATCTGCATTTATCTGGTAACTAATGAAGATAAATATTTTTTAATATGTTTATTGCGAACTTTAAAAAATCTGTTATTGCCTTTTTTGGTGAAGTGTGTCCCTTCCAACTATGGGGGGGGTCATCTGTTTTGTATTGAATCATAGAAGCTCTTTATATATTGTGGATACGAGTCCATCATTGGATGCATGAATTATGAATGTTTGCTCTGTGTAATCTTTCTGTTTAATGGTGGGGAAACTAAAGCCCAGAGAGGAAGTGGACAACACTTTAAGGATCCATGGTCATAGCCAAGCTTGGAGAGGCTCTGACCTCCTTGAGAGCTATGGCCCCCCAGGTGTTGTCCTGCAGCCTCCCCTCCCTCTCTTGTGCTTTCCCTCTTGCTCTTGCTCTTTCCTGGCTGGCCCTGCAGCTCAGAAGTATTCCTCACATGCTCACTTCCTGACCCCACAACCTCCTCCTCTTACTCAGTCCTCACTTCTGTCTGTCACAAGCTGCAGGAGGCCCCTCCTGTCTCCCCTGCACTCTTCACCCCTCCTCTGGACACCAGAACCCAACCTTTTCTCAATGGTCAGCCTGCTGCTCTTGCCTTGCATTTGAACCTGGATGAAGAGGGGATCAGACATGGAAAATCCTGTGTGCTGACCATTTCCTACCAGACACTGTCCCCCCTTCTTCCACAGGTGTATCCTGACCAGTTCCAGAGCCCTGCTGCTGGTCTGGCCCCAGCAGCCCCAGAACATCCTTTCAGAATCTGCACACAGTCCCTTCACCTCCCTGCTGAGAATTTCCATGTCCTTGCCTGTCTCTCACCACACTCAGGCCTCACTGCTCCTCCAGTCTCCTCAGAGAAGCTCTCTGATGGTCCAGTTAGTATAGACCTTCTGGGACTCTTCCTGTTGCCTGTGTGGCCCCCTTTCCACATGTTATATGTGCAGGTGTGTGGACATGTGGACTTGTCACATCAAGCACCTCTTGCATAGAGACTCCCCAGGGGGTATTATTCAACAGACAGCTGGAAGGCAATATGTTTCTTTGAGCTTCTGTTTTTTTTGAGATAAAGCCATTTCACCGGTGACACCAGGAATCTTCCCTTCTAGGGGCCTGGCATATTTATGGTAGCCAGCATTCTTCTGGAGACCCTGGAGCTTCCTGTGGTTCCAGCTGAGCCTAGCAGCACTTCTTTTCCCCCCTCAGCGCATCCAACAGCTTGGCATTTTTCTCAAGAAGCTCAGTCAAGGAATTCAAACTAGAGACCTTATCAAGTCAAAGACAAAGGCCTAGATTCTTTGCTGGACAGAGGATTTTACCAAAGTCCCTGGGCCAGACCTCCAGGCCAGCCACCCAGCCACCCCATGGACCTCAAAGCCATCTCCCATGTAGTTGAAAAGGTGGAGGGCACACTTGTGGCTCCTAGCATCCCCCAGTGCCTTCTCATAGGTCTGTGACTGTCAGCTGTGGAATGGGTCTCTAGGGTCCTGGCCTGGAGATATTGATCCAGGAGGTTTCTCCTGTACCTGGATTTTAAAAAATTTCCCCATGGTTCTGATGAACACTATTCAGACAGTGGAGACCCCTTGTGTCCACCTTGTCCTCTCTGTACTGGGCAATGCTTGTCCCTCTGTGTTGGTCCTACTACCCATGTCCTTTGTCTCTCTCCTTAGGGAGATTCTGGGGGTCCCTTTGTCTGCCCACTGGAAGGTGTTTGGTACCTGTTTGGACTGACAAGTTGGAGCCACATATGTCAATCCCCTGTTGGTCCCAGTGTCTTCACCAATCTCAGCTACTTTGCCGGCTGGATTAAGAAGCACAAGAAGGAGAATCCTGCGCCCGATCCTGGAAAGGCTCCTCCTGTAGAAAAAGCACCTGCTCTGTCCACTGATGTATCTAGTGAAACTGTCCTGAAGCCCAGGATGACTGTGCTGCTGTCTGCTCAGTTCCTCCTGCTGTGGCTGAGTTTGGTCAGTGCTCAGTGACAGGCTCCCAGCATGTCCACGCCCAGCTTTCCTCCACAAGGCCCCTGGCTGAGCTCTGCACTGTCCTTCCATGCTTCCATCTCTGGGCTGTCCTGTCCATCTAAGGCCCAGGCCTGATGAAATAAAAACAACCCAAGGAACTTCTGGCTCCTGTTTTGAACCTGTCAGTGCCATACCTCATGCCCTGCTGGGCTTCAAGGTGCTTAGTGGCAGAAGGCCTCACTCCTCCCTGGGAAGGGACAGGTGAGGGGACACCCAGGAGACTGGGCTGGCCATATGCAAGTTTCGTCACTGTCTTCAGGCCCCAGTCTTGCCTCAAGGGTATGTGGTTTTCTAGAAGGAGCCACAGTGCAGGGGTTGGAACCCCAGTATGTGGGGGAAGTTCTCATGATCCTGGAGCTGGATGATTTGCCCCCATTGAGTATGAGCAAGTGTCTTCCAGGCCCACAGGTCACGGAGGCTCTTCTGGAGAAGTGTCAAGTAAAGGGCAAAGGGCCCTGAGATCTGTGTCTTGGGTCAGCAATCTTGGGAGCCCTGTTGCCCCTGTACCCACCACCTCCCCCTCCCCATATCTCCATCAGCCTGGGCCCCAGTGCCTGTGGGCTTGCTTCAGCTTGTGTGTTTGAGGCTTAGAAGGCCCAGGACTTGCTGGCCTAGCACTCAGCTGGCCCCTGGAGCACTGGCCACCCACAGTTCCCGTTGCCACTTATCTTCCACCCAGGGTGGCTCATGCCGCCTGGCCTGGTGTTCACCCACACACAAACTTCAGCCTTGTCCCTCAACAGGCATGTTCCCGTGGGAAGCTTGGGGTTATCTGATTGCCCAAGTCCCTCAGGCCTCCTCTAACAGTGCAGGCAGGCTCCCACACCTAGTGTTCTCTGCAGACCTACTGGATCACAGCTTTAGCCCCACTCCCCGCTACCTGGGATCCACCTCAGCACTCACTTGTATTAGCCAGGTACAGTCTATTTTTACAGATCTGGAACCCAATGCCTAGGATAGTTCAGTTACTTGTCTGAGGTCACGTAGGTAGTAACCTGAGGAAGATTTCACACCAAGATCTGGAGAAAGACCACAAGAGTTTGTTCTTCCCACTAGTGCAGGTCATTCCCAGAGGCCACAGGCCCTGTCTGACTTTCCCTTGGATCCACATTTTAGAGGCATCAGCTACCCTGCCCCCTGTGCAGTGTAGGAATCCCTCTGGTTGGTCGAAAGGGAGGTTCCCATATACTAAGATGGAGGTCAGCGTGGAAAACACATCTTCAGGACTGGTGAGCCAGGGTCTAGGGGTTTCCCTTGCATGACTTTCACCAAAGTCAACATTTGAGGCTTTCAGGCCTTCCTAAATGCTGCTGGCCCTCTCTCTAAAATCAAGCTTGGATGAGCTGTGGAGGAGAGAAGAAAATGTGGACTTCAGAAACTCACCCAAATCAGAACTTAGAGATGGCTGTTGCTGGGGGTGAGAGTAGGGCAGTGGAGGATGGGCCTCAAGAAGGCTGTTCTCCTATTCCACTCTTACTCCCCACTATGATTTCTTCTAAGGTGTGTGTGTGTGTGTGTGTGTGTGTGTGTGTTGTGTTTTTAGGGATGGAACCCAAGGACTCACATATGCTAAGCAATTGTCCTACCACTGACCTGCATGCCCAGTCTCTCTTCCAAGGCTTTAATTTAAAGCCTTGATTATTGGAGTTGCCCAGAAGGTAACAGGGTACAGGAGAAGGGAAGGGAAGTGCCTTGGTGCCTGGGGCCCTCCCCTTCAGCTCCTCAGGACTTTAGCCTTTTAAAAGCCATGTTACCAGACTGAGAAAAAGAGCAGCTGCCAACCAGGTGAACATGTACACATGTACCACAATCACTACCCACCTCGGAAGTATGATTGAATGGGAAATATCACAGAAACTGTATTGTGCTGACAAAGACAACACATCTTTAATAAGCAGAATAAATATCTTTACGAATATACAAAAACATTATTAGCAATAAGATCTAAGACAAAGAAAAAACACACACAAGAAAAAACAAGTCAAAATATTACATATGAAAATGTCATTGAAATTAACAGTGTAATAAATTGGGAGAATACTAGGATTAATACAGATGAAAGAGGAATGTCATCATGACTTTATATGAATATTATAAGGTATGGCTTTGGAGCTGATACACTTAAGTTGTTATGTTTTCAGAGTACTTATTTGCAAATGAACCAATATTCAGCTAGATGCAGTGATACATGCTTATAATCCCAGCAACTTGGGAGGCCGAAAGAGGAGGATCACAAGTTGAGAACAGACTTGGCAATTTATGGACACCCTATCTCAAAAAAAAAAAAAAAAAAAAAACAAGAGCTGAAGATGTTGCTCAGTTGTAGAGTTTTCCTGGTTTCTATCTCCAGTATTGCAAAAAAGAAAGAAAGAAAGAAAGAAAGAAAGAAAGAAAGAACTAATTATCAGGATATGGTTGGGTATAAGGGCATGAGAAAGCCCAGAGCAGGAGCCTGGTATAAGCAACAGCAACAGTGATATTTGCCACCCCTAGGGACAAGGGAGGGAGAGCAGTAGAGAGAAGGTGGCTTAAGAGTTGCAAAGACAGCTAGACATCATCTGTAATCTTAGTGATTTGGGAGATTGAGGCAGGAGCCTTACAAGTTCAAGATCAGAGTCAGCTACTTAGCAAGAACTTGTTAGCCGAAGAAGATGAGGAGGAGGAAGAAGAAGAGGAGGAGAAGGAGAAGGAGATGTAGGGGGCTGGGAATGTAGAGATGTAGGGGGTTGGGAAGGTAGCTCAAGTGTAAAGAGCCCCTGGGTTCCATTTTTAGTACTATTAATAAATAAATATCAATGAAATGAAATTGAATGACTCAAGTCAAACGATTCAAATATAAATAACACAAAAACAAATATAGTTCATGAATAATGTAAGTAATTATAACCTAAATTTTGGTTATCAGAATAAAATACTTAAACATAAAAAAGTAGAAATAAAGTAATCAGAGATGAAATAATTTAAAATGCACATATAATAAAAAATAACTTTAAAGCTAAACAAATCAGAAAGTATACACCACTGAAAGGGAATAACTAGATTTTGGTGAGACAGTGACAGTTATTCCCTCTGAGCTGTCATAATTTTCTCCTTCTGCTGATGGACAGACTCAATGCAGGATACAGTCACAGTAATGGTCAAGAGAGAGGTGACCCTACAAAAGTGGGGAGAAGGACAGAGCCAGGAAGTCTTCAGAAACAAACTATTGTGTGTCACAGGAGAGAAGTCCATGGAAAATTAGAAAAACTACATAAATCATATTTCTCTCTAGGAATTCAAGAAAATAAATCTCATGAAAAAAATTAGCCCAGTATGTGTTATGCATCTGTAATCCTACAGACTCAGGAATCTGAGGCTACGAGGATCATAAGTTTGAGGCCAGCATGGGCAATAGTTGAGACCCTCTCTCAAAAGTAAAAAGTCAAAAGGGCTGGGGCTGAGATCAGTAGTAAAGTGTCCTTCGGTTCAATCCCTAGTAACCTAAAAGAGAAACAAGTTTCATTATCTATGAAATGATAAATGCCTTAGGAGATGGATATATTTTAATACATTTGAGACATAAGATATAACAGTGGTCTGCATCATGCTTTGAATATTGTACTTGATGCTCTGCCACTGAGACTTATTTTGAATGTGTTTTATCTTCTCCTTCTCTCAAATTAGCAAGTGAATTTTGACACGCCCCCCCCCCCATCCCAATCAGGGCACAACTGGAATGTAGCTTTTGAATGATCTCTTTGAAAACGTTCTTTTTTATATACACAATGGAATATTACTCAGCAATACAAGAGAAAAAAATTGTGGCATTTGCAGGTAAATGGATGGAGTTGGAGAAGATATTGCTAAGTGAAGTTAGCCAATCCCAAAAAACCAAATGCCGAATGTTTTCTCTGTTATAAGGAGCTGATTAATAGTGGGGTAGGGAGAGGGAGCATGGGAGGAATAGACAAACTCTAGATAGGGCAGAGGGGTAGGAGGGGAAGGGAGGGACATGGGTTAGAAATGATGGTGGATTGAGATGGATATCATTATCCAAAGTACATGTATGGTGAACACGAATGGTGTACAACCAGAGATATGAAAAATTGTGCTCTACATGTTTATTATAAATTGTAATGCATTCTGCTGTCATATATAAAAAAACAATAAAAAATCAATCAATCAAACAAACAAACAACAACAATAATAACAACAACAAAACACTCTTTTCCCCCTAATGGGAAGAATCATAGCCCCTGGACAGGATTCCCCTGTGTTTCTCCTTTGGTAGCAAAGCAATAAAACTTTTTTTTCCCTTTTTATTAAAACTGTGTCCTTTTATTGGATTGGCATAGGAACAAGGACTGAGTTTTTGTTAACGAATTGGCAACTTAGAAGGGACCTGAGAGGAGCCCTCACTCTGGCTTTCTTGCGCAGTACTGGCACTCCAAGAAATGCCACTTCCATGCTGATGTGCAAAATGAATTTGTTGAGATCCAACTGCTGAAAAGGTAGAAGCTGGGTGAATTTTCCTTGGGTTGAACTAGAGAATCTATTCCTGTGAGTAAAGGGAGGGACAGAGGAATTGTTCCAGCAGCTGCCAAAGCTCTTTTACTATGGGGAACTATCTTCTACTCTCCCTTGGTCCACTTTGAAAAAAAGAAAACTGAATGAAGTAAGGTTTGTCACTTTAGCCATCTGGTAATCTCCCCCCTCCCACATGCACACAGAGACCCTTGCTTCTACACCTCTGGTTCTCCTTTGTGAGAATGTCTTGTCTTTCTTTGTAAGGACATCTGTAGTTCTACTGATGTAGAAGTCATAGTTAAGGGGGAATAGGGAATTTAGGGGATGTTACTCCTATCTGGTCCATTTAAAAAGTTTCTGTCTGTTGGCCATGGTTTTGGGGATCCTCTATGGTTGTCTCTGTGTTTTTGTTTGTGTCTGTTGCTGGTCTTTAAAACATGGGCAATACTGCATTGATCCATCCTATCAATAGTCTCTTGGGAAAGATGCTGACTGAAAGGACACTTATATAAACCTGTCTAAGAAAAAGGACTGAAAAAGACACTTATATAAACCTGTCTAAGAAAAAGATGATATTTTACTA